GGAGTGGGCCAAGGGTTTCTCGCAAGGACCCTATGCACGTCACGGGGCCTTTGGGATTGGTGGCATTGGTCCCACAGTACCAGAGGCTCTGGACCAGGTCTAGGTTCTCCTGGAGCTACTCTAGTCCAGCAAGAGCCATCCTCCCCTGGCACCCCCACCCCGCCCCTGGGCTGGGGGGCAGGAGTGCCACCTTCCTGGAAGGTGTGGTTGGGGTTGAGCTGCTGGTAATTTGTGGAGTTCAGCTGACAAGGGTGCCGGCTTGCAGGAGCTCAGCGCTCATTTCCTCAGGTTCTCTCCTTCCTCAACCACTAGCGCCCCGAGCTCCCTAAGGGCTGGGCGCCTCAGGGTTGTAGTTGGAAAGCCCTGGCCGGCTGCGGATGAATCCTCTGCTCTGGCAGCTTGTGAGCTCCTCCCCCAGGCAAATTTCTCTCTGTCTCAGCCTCAGTTTGCTCATTTACAGAAGGAGGAGGTAAGACCCACTGCTGGTGGTGTAATGTTAATGAGAACCTGTGGAAAACAGCACAGCCTCTGGCCCCTGTTTTATGCTCAGTAGATGTCAATTCTTTGCTATTTTAAGATTTTCCCAGCCTGTGTACAAAATTTTGTAAGTTTAATGGCCAAACATGTTTATACTGTGTAGTTGTAGACACGGTTGGAAATCCTTTTCCTGGGCTGCAACTCACCAGTTTCTCTAAGTATTGGCTATTACCGACTCATATCTGCTACCTGGTTATCTGGGGAACTGCCTTCCGCTGAAACAGAAGCCACTTCACCTGGGAGGCAACTACATTACAACACCTTGTAATGCTGCCAGTGGTTAATAGCACTGTATTGCATATTTGAAAGTTGCTAAAAGAGTCATTGTCTAACGGTTCTGTAGGTCAGAGGCATGGGTGCAGAGTTTCACAAGGTCAAAATCAAAGGTGTTGGCTGGGCTGCATTTCATTCTGGAGGTTCTGGGGATGAACCTACTTGCAAGTTCATTCAAGTTGTTGGTCGCACTCACTTCCTTGTGGTGGTGGTTACAACTGAGGTCAGGTTTCCCTGCTGGCTGTCAGCTGGGGTCCCGTCTTGGCTCCTAGAAGTCACCCACATTCTTCCTTTCTTCCTTATGCTTTCTATGTGGCCCCCTCCACTTTTGGGAGTTGAGTCCCTTTCATGCTTTGAATCTCTCTGAATTCCTCTGCTGTCACATATCTTTCGACCCCAGCAAGTGGAGAAAGTTCTCTGCTTTTAAGGGCTAGTGTGATTAGATGGCCCCCCTGCCCCCATAATCCAGGATAAGCTCCCTATTTTCAGGTCTGTAACCTAAATTACATCTTCCAAGTCCCTTTTGTCATGCCAGGGAACATGTTTACAAGCGCCAGGGAGGACAGAGTGGACACCTTTGGAGAGCCATTATCCTGCCTCCCACTATGGTAGAATTTACACATGCTGAGCCATGCCTGAGGGCTTTTCAGGGGACGGTGGGGACTGCATGGAAAGAACAAGCCATGGAGGCCGACCACATGCCAGGAGCAGTGAGAACAACCTCTCTTGGGGTGTAAGCCGGCCAGTTTCTTCCAGATGATGAGCTATGTGTGCAAGCTCTTGGACAGAGTAAGACCATCTGAACAGGAGTAAGGCAGCCCCAGAGCCCCGACCTGGGAGGTGTGGAAAATGCACTGCCACTCACCTCAGCGAAATTGCTGTTGGAGCATCTCTACGCTTCCTGTGTGTGCTTTTTCTCAGTGTTTAACAGTGCAGAGGCTGGGCACCTTCAATAAATAACTTTTATTTAATATTATGTATTTGTTGCACAAAGTTCATCAGAAGTCAGAAGATGAATGTAACACCTAACACCCAGACAGAACAACTATAGATGCTCTGGCTTTGTAAGATGCCTTTAAAACTTAGCAATATATCCACTTAACTTCCCGTGTCTATTAATATTCTTCCTCAATGTTATTTTTAATGGATACGTAGTTCTCTATTGTATGGATGGCACTATGGTTTATTTAACGAATCCCCCAATGTTGACATTTGGCTTGCTCCCAAGTGGTTTAGCTGTCATAAACAACCCTGACACGGACACAACAAGGGCTTTTTTGATGGACATGTTGAACAGGATGTCATCCAACTTTGAGCCGCAGTGCAGAGGGGGCCTGTGGACAGTCACAACTGTTAGAGTGAATGGCCTCTCCCGGATTTCTTCATCTGGGCCTCTCGGTGGCACCCATGTGTGTTATTAGTTGCTAACTTTGTCCAGCTGCTCCAGAGGGCTCCAGGTGGGGTCTCCTGAGGTACAAAGAAAAGGTGTTGGTGCTGTGGCACAAGAGGGGGCATCAGGGCAGCAGCTGGGGGCTGCGCCCCAATCCTGACCCATTTAATCTCTGCAAGTGGTCTCTAGAAGCTGCATTTTCAGGAATCAATGTAGGCACATCTATTGTTCTAGATCAAGGCTTCCTGTGTATAATACTTAGCCCCATGAAATGCCAGGAAGGTTCTTATAAGTTACTCACTGATCGTCCTTTAATTTTTGCAGTTTAAACAACCCTGCAGTGGATACTGATGCAGGTGGTCCACAGATATGAATTGGTCAAGAATGTTCTAGAAAAAGAATGGGACCACTCTAGGCCAGGTTCTGTGTTCACGGGCTACTCTGAGAGCATTTCCAGGATTGGAGTGAGCCTTTATGAGTTCTGGGTGGGTCGGTGGTCTTCATGCAGTCAGAGACGGGGAAGGCAATGAGGAAGGGCCCAAACAAGGTGGGCTCTGTGTCAGAGAAACATTTCAGTTGAGCCTTGAGTTGTGGCAGCTTAAAGAGAACTAAAGGCATCTTAGAGGAGTGGGACTGAGGGATAAGCATCTTAGAGGCCAAAGCCAGAGATGCAGTGTGAGGGGTAGGAGACCACAGAGAAGGGTGGCAGGACAGAGGAGATGTGATAATGTGAAAGAAATGCACACACACCCAGTGTGCTCATGGTGTGCCAAGGGCTCTCCCCACCTCCTTTCCTGTTCACCATGATGCTCTGGGCTGAGTACATGCCCTCTTACATGTGGGAAGATGATGGCTCACAAAAGTTAACCAACTGTCATTCAAAATAAGTACAGAAGTCAGGATTTCATCCCAGGACCATATAGTTCCAGAGCTCAGACAACCACACATGTAATTATAACTTTGCAAACAGTTGTAAGAACTAAAAAGGAAAACTAGGCTCTGTAAGAAAAAAGGAGGGACTGTTAATGTAAACTGGAACATCAGGAAAGGCCTCTGTAGGTACATGAGATTTAGCTGGGACTTGAAGGGTGGTTAGGAAATAGCCAAGCTTAAGTGTGGGGAAGAATGTTCCAGAACTGTGCATCCAAAGGAACTTTGTAATGATGGGAGTGTGATACATCTGTACTGCGCAATGAACCATGAGGCACATGTGACTATGGAGCACTAGAAATGTGTCCACTGTGACTTGAGGAACTAAATTTTCAAATCAATTACAATTAATTTAGATGTATATATGTAAAAAGCCATGTGTGGCTAGTGGCCATTGAATCAGCACAGCTCTAGAAAAAAGGGAAAGTTGATGCAAAGGACCTAAGCTCAAGAATGGTTTGACAGCTTCCAGGAGCCTGAAGTGTTGGGGTACAAGGAGTAAAGAGAAGCAGGGTTCAGGGTATGCAGGCACATGCAGGAGGCATGAGGGGTTTTCAGTGTTACTGCAGTTTTGTTGAAGGTTTTTGAGAAGAGAAGTAACTTGGTCGATTTTATGTTTTAAGAAGATCACTCTGCACTGTGGCAAAAGGGTCATAAGGGGTGAAAGTGGGAGAAGAGAAAACGAGGAGGAGGAGATGGTGGCAGTTCAGCCTAGAGTGGGAACTGTGGGAATGATGAGTAGTTGGATTTGTGGTATTTTCAGGTAGAACATGGTTTTAAAGAGACAGGGTCCAGTTCCTTAGACCTGTGTTGTCTAGTATGGTAACCACTAGCCTCTTGTAGTTACTTAAATTTAAATTAATTAAAATGAAATGAAATACAAAATGTTGCTTGCCAGCACTAGGTACATTTCAAGGGCTTTATGGCCACGTGGGGCTACTGGATGCCACTATTTCGCCACATAGGGTCAGTGAGCATTTCCATCATTAGAGAGACTTCTACTGGACATCGCTAAGATCACTCAGATCCAGAAGAGATCAAGAGGTCATCAAGTCCAACACCCTCATTTTAGAGATGATGTCCCGCAGGATGCTCAGCTGATGTTGCTAGAGTGACATCTGCACCAGCCTCTCAGCTGACAGCCTCCCGCACCCACGTGCTCTGTAAGCATCATTGGTGGAAACACCAGCTTTCCAGAGAGCTCTGCTTCCAGAGCAGGGGCAGCATAGTCCTCGCTTTCCCCAAGCTTTTGTCTGCATGGTGTGGATGGGAGCAGAGGAAAAGGGCAGCAGGATGGCGTGATGACCCCATTTGACAGAAGGTTAAACTGAGCCGCTGGCAGTGACTAAGTAAGCAAAGGCACCCAGAAGGCTCAGGTCCTATTCTGACTTAGACCTTTGAGTAATTCCAAAACTGCCAGGAGAAGGAAGGGTGAGATAAAAACAACAAAAGGGGGAGAAGGGAACCCCCCTTATTATTTCCCATTATTATTTCCAGCCAGCATGGCCCAGCACCAGAGCTCAAGGGTTGTGTCTTCAGTCTTTCTGCAGAAAATAACGCCCTGCCTTCTGAACACCACACACCACACAGACAGTCCCAGTGTGTCATTCAGTCCCGTCTTCTCACAGCCTCTCCAAAGGCACACCAAAGATGTGGGTGCCAAAGAAGTACAACCAGCTCATATTTTACGCACAAGTCTAGACCCCAAGTAGGCCTTGTTTCCAGAGAAGCGAAAAGAGAAACAAAACAGAAAAGAAAACCCTGAGTTAGCAGAACTTCCTGGTGGCCTGGCAGTTCTGGGAACAGTGAAGTGAGTTCACAGGAAGTAGGTGAAAACGAAAAGAAAAAGCCTTGTTTTTGGCACCTCTGAGCCTCTGGTTATGGGGAGCTTCACTTCAGATGAGTCAGATGGAGGACGGAAGGGGAAGCTGCCCGAGGGGCAGGCCTGGGACGGAGGCAAATGCACAGGGAGGACAGCAGACCTCCAAGGGTATGTGACCCCTTACGCCCCTGGCTTGCTAGACCTGGGACAGACTTCACTGTGGACAGTGGCAGGGGTTTCTCCCCACCTCCCCCTCCCCCAACTCAGGCTGTTTGGGGGCCCAGCCCATGGGAGACCACCACATTCTGCTGCCGTGGATGCAGGGTGACTGGACAGCCTTCCAGCAGTGCCTGCTGCCCCTTGCCACCTTGGACTGCCGAAAGATGACCCATGACTGTGGTGTCCTTATATGCCATCTCCCTCGGTCAGTGCTTGGGTGACCATCTCTTACGAGGGTTTCATTAACACTCGAACAAGGCAAAGACAGCTACTGTGAGTTGAGCACTGCCTGTGCGCTGGGCTCTGTGCTGGGTGCTTCCCGTGCATTAGCTCAACCAAACATCACAATGCCCTCTAAGACTATGTTATCCCCACTTTACCAATGAAGAAGACGAGGCTCAGAGAAATTACAGTAACCATATGATCCAGCAATGACCCTCTTTAATATTTACTCAAATGTTTGAGGACTTATGTCCACACAGAACCCTTCACATTGTCATTTATAGCAGCTTTGTAATTGCCATAACTTGGAAGCAGAAGCAACCAAGATGTCCTTCAGTAGGTGGATGGATAAACTGTGGCACATCCAGACAATGGAGTATTTTTTGATGCTAAAAAGACATGAGTTATTATGAAAAGACATGGTAGAAACTTTAATGTATATTACTAAGTGGAAGAAGCCAATCTGATAAGACTGCATATTGTGTAATTCCAACTACATGACATTCTGGAAAAGGCAAAACAATAGAGACAATACAAAGATCAGTGGCTGCCAGCCATTAGGGAGAGGGAGAAATGAATGGTCAGAGCACAGAGGATTCTAGGGCAATGAAACTATCATGTTGGTACTATAATGGTGCATACATGTCATTTATACATTTATCAAAACCCATAGGATGTGCAACACCAAGAGTCAATCCTAATGTGAACTATGGACTTGGGATGATGCTAATATGTCAGTGTAGGTTCATTGATTGTGCCTAATGCACTGTTCTGTTGGGGGAGGCTATGGGCAGGGGGTGGAGTAGACGGGACTCTGTAACTCCCGTCTAACTTTGCTGTGAACCTAACTGTTCTAAATAATAAAGTCCATATTAAAAAAAAGTTTCAGTGCCCGTCCAAGGTCCCAGCTCTAGTAAACAGTGGAACTGGGCTCTGTAATTCCAAATATGATGTTCTTCATCTTCACTCCATCCCATGTCCCTGTAGTCTTTCCTACCTCACAAATACTTTTGTTTTTAATCTCCTGCTGGTTGTGGATGAAGCTTGCAACAGGAACAGAGAGGCCATTTAGAAACACTGGGAGTGTTAAAATTCCCTTCTCTCTGTTCCTCTAAAGGCTGATGACACTGCTTCTCCTTCCCTACAAGCTGAGAACTTGCCTGACTTAAATCTTGACCATGTGTGGGGCTCCCCTTCCTTTTGGATCCCTTTCTTCTCTTCACTTCTGGGCCACAACCCCTTCCCTGTTCTCTCCTATGAAAGATGGAGGGTGCAGCCAATGTCTGTCTGTCTGCCATTTGGCACCTGTCTTTCCTGACCAATGTCCACACTCTGGCCCACTGATTTCACTGCTCTATGAAGGGGAAACATGTGAGTTAGTAAAATGTTGAGCAAACAGCCACCATGTTGTATGAAACAACTCAAAACTTAAGGCAATAACCTTAGGGCCACCAATGTGGAGTTGAGCAGGTTGTGCACTGCCCAAGGGTACCTGTGGAGAGGGTGAGTGGTGAGTGGGGTCTGGAGAGAGACCTTGTTATCTTCACCAAGCTAGATCCCCTCAGCCCAGGGGGACATCTCTATGAACACCGAAGTGCCAAGTGACCTCAAGAGAGGTAATAATCACTGTTCTTAATCAGCATCCTTGTTATTTTTATTCCTAGGTACTACTTGATGCAACATGGAAAGAGGCTGAGCTTGGCAGTCAAGGCCCTGAGTTTAATCTGACTTCTCCAATTACAAAAGGTAAAAAGCTTTGTTAAGTCTCTTGGCCTCAATATACTAATCCCCAAATGCTTCAAATATGTATTTTCATTAATGCTCATTTTTTAAAAGTGGAAAAAGAATTGTAAGGAAGGCAAAGCATGGGTGACCATTCCTATTTAACAGAGAAAAAGTTAAGTGGTTTGCTCATGGCCACCCAGTGAGTAAGTGGGAGGGAAAGGATGGAACCTGGGTTTTCCCTGTTGGTTCCAGTGTCTGTGCACACACCTGGGGTGTCACCCCTCCATATATGGATACGATATTCACAGCACTCTGACGTCATTACCTGAGTCTCAGAAGGCATCAGATGAGGAAAACAGTGGATGTCTTTAGGGTGGGTCATTACTGATGTGTGGTTTATCCAGCACTGGGGGATGAGTGTTCAGAATTAACCACAAATACAGTGAACACAATTCATTAGCCATTAGCTAAGTGATACTTTTATTTTTGCATAGCCCTTTGCAGTTTAAATGCATTTCCAAATATAATATTTAAAGACCTCATTTGATCCCCATGACTCAGGGAGTAGGCAAGGCAGTTCCAAGGGAGGGTGGGGCTGTGCAGGGGAGTGAGCGGGCCTGCTGAAGCTCAACCTGCCGAGGGCCAGAAGCTCAGGGTAAACTCAGGCTTCCATGGCCGCCTTTCTGTGGGCTGTGTACTCCCAACCCTCTTCCGAGTCTCATTCCCCCCAACACACAGCCCAGCAGTGGGGTATAGACTTGGACGTCAGCCTGCTGCTCCCTAGGATACGAACTTTCCTTAGCACCTCAGCCTGTCTCCAGGGACAGCTCAACCCTCTTCAAACCCAGGCCTCTCCTTGGGGTGCTGAAGAGGCAGGGAAGGGCCTGGCAGTCAGAGTTGTGGAGGAACCATTAGGGAAGAAAATGCACCAACGTTCCCAGTTGGTGACATCAGTCGACTTTTCTGTTTGCTATTTCACGTGACTTTTCAGCTACAAGGACAAACACATAGACCTTAGTCAGGTTTCTTTCTAAGCAAGAATTAACAGGCCTCCTGTATCATTTTCTTCTAGGGCCTTCCAGGCTTCAGAGACACTTCTGCTTCTGGCTTTCCTTACTGTAGCCCCTCAGAGCAGAGGCGCCGGGCCCCAGCTGGAGACTGCCGCCCGGCCTCACCTCGTCTTCTAGGGCCTGTGCTTGGCGGCCCAGGGCCCGCGGCCCCACCCTCAGGCTCTGCCGAGGAAGGCGGCCTTCCAAGGCTCCAGGTATTTTTAATCACGGAGTGTTTATGGATCTGGAATGGCGCAGGGCTCAGTGGGGGCTCTGCAGCTACTTTTTTCTTTTTCTTGGACAGTCAGCTAGGTGGGAATTCCAGGCTGTGTGTATTTATGGAAGGCCATGGCGGTCCTGAGAGAGGAATGATATGCTGACCTGCATTCTGGTGAGCTCCTGGGAGCCTACAGGCTTCTCCCTCCCCTCCTGTGAGCCTGGTGCCCCAAACCCAGGACACTGTCCAGGGAGGATGACTGAGCTGGGCAAGGAAGAGGGGAACTCGGCGGCAGAGCCTCTCGAAGGCCTGGCTTCTAATCTGGGTTGTCACCCACCACTGCCCCTGCCCCGTCTGCAGGTACTTCCAGAACATCTCCTGTGGGCAGGCTGTGCTTTCTTCAACCTGGGGAATTTGCTAATCTCTGGGTTCACTTCGGGAAGGAACTGAGAGACAGAGATGGCAACAGGGCCGCTGGTGCATGGGAGCACCCAGACACAAAGCGAATAATTATTCCTGGCTGACATCAGCAGCCCACTGCTGACTGTGTGAGCTGCTTTCCTTCCAGCCCCACCTGTGGGTCTGGCAGCCCCCAAAGAAATAGCGATGAGTAGCTGCATGGGTCTTAGATGCTGGTCGGCACGTGGCTGACCACCACCTCCCCACTGTTCTTAGGTCTTCTAGGTATTATCGGTCTGGGTACAACCAAGATCTTTTACCCACTAATCCCGCTGTTGCAGACAGGTGTGAAAAGCACAGATAGCAGACATCATGGGGTGCTGATTTAATTACTACTCTTCAGAGCAGTCAGTTTGGGTCTGGAAAGCTCCTAAAGGCAGGTCTGTCTGTGAAACAAGAGCAGACATTGTGAGTTTTAAATAGGCAGCTGACAGCCCACGGCTGACGGTGATGTCAGGCCCACCAGCTGGGCGGACTCCATCCCTGGCAGGCTCACTGTTCTTCCTTGCCTCAGGCTCAGGCCTCTGTGTGAGGATGAGCCCAGGGCTGGTGAGGAGGCTGCGGCCAGGACAGGTAGGACAAGGCAGGGATTCCCCATCAGAGGGGGCTGAGCCATGCGTTCCAGTGCCCAAAAGTTGTGGGTCCTTCTCATTTATCCACTCAACAAACATTTATTAAACACCTTCTGCTTGCCAAACACTACTCTTCCCTGGGGACATGATGGTGAATGGTGAACCTCAAGGTGACTGCTCAGATACCCTGTCTTCGCAAAACCTTGTTCTCCGGTGCTCCTCCACTGGTGCCTTAATATGACCAGGAGCTCACGGAGCAGGGGAAGGCTGTATGCCACAGAGCTTCCTTCAGCATCAGACCTGAGCTGTCTCCAGTGTTGGCCCTGGAGGAACCCACTGAATAAATTTATCCTCAAGCAAATCTTGGCTGCCTCAGAGGAACCCAGATGGCCTTTCGTGTGTGTGTGTGTGTGTGTGTGGTGTCCATGCATTAGGGTAATTCCATTTGTGTTTAAGCTAGAGGGAGTGCCTCGTTCCATTTGTGTTTTGTTTTAATCCTAAATTGGGATTATTTTATTTGTCTTGATTAAATTCAAAGCCTTGCTTTTGTTTTCTTTTTATAATGCTAGTATAAATTTATTAAAAAATTTTTTATTGAGATATAATTGACACATAGCATTATATTAGTTCAGGTATGCAACATACTGATTCAATATATGCACATATCGAGAAACTCAAGCACAATATGTCTCAACACCCATCACCACACATAGCTACAAATCTATTTTTTTGGCCCAGATGGCCATTTCTGATATCATGTGTTTCATTGGGGAAGGACAAGCCTTTTTTTATCTGTACGGACTGGCTATTATTTCAGATATTTTCAGGAGTATGGGAGGAAAATCATGGGCAACTGAGGTCATTTCTCAGGGCGTTTGCGTCGAATGAACTGAGAGGAGTAGTGGCCCAACCATGTGTATTTGAGCTATTCTGAGACTGCAAGATCAAGTTCAAGGCCTTTGTCTTCGCTCTGGGGCCACCATGCTCCCACACACACCACCAGTCCACCTCAGCTTCCATCCAAGCAAGTGTCGGAGAGCCACACTGTCTCCCCATGGCCTGTTCTGAGCATGCTTGACTTCCTTCAGCCCTGATGGCATTGTTCTCGCCTCCTGAAACCATCAGTCTGGTATGGCTGAGCAGTGAAGAACTATGAAATAAGAATATTTTTAGCAGTAAACAGATTCAGATGACTGAATCCTTTCCTCTGTGATTATCTGTTTACTATCCCATTTCCTCCCATCGCATGCTTTTATTAAAGCTAGTATCGCAGGCCCTCTCTGTGTCAGGCACTATGTTGACATGAATTATTTCATTTAATCTTCAAAACAGTCTTATAAAGAACCATCAAGAAACCTTATTTTATAGCAGAGGGAGTTGAAGATTTGAAAGGAAGGAAGTGGGATCCCCCACCTAGTCACAGGGTTTGACCTCCATGGTCTGACCTCAGAACTCCTGCTCTCAAACACTGTGATGTGGCCCCTCCAGGCCGGGTGATGCTGGTGTCATACTTGTCTCATTCATGGTCATGGCCAAGGTTTGTCCTTGAACCTGTCATTCCATTCATTCAGGAAGGTGGCAGATATCTTCTTGCCTCATGTTTACAAGACCTAGGGCTCCACCTCTCCACACCAAAGGGTGAAATCTGCCTACATGTATAACTCAGAGGTCCCATGGAAGTCACTTGCCTCTCCTAGGTCCACCATCCTAGATGCCTGCAGAGGGGACTGCAGAGATGGGTGGGAGGGTGTCACCTGTAACCACCCATGGAGTCCTGCCCCAGGGCTCGCTCTCTGCTTGATTTTAGGCAAGTTACTAATCTCTTTAAGCCTCAATTTTCCTCACCTGTGACATACAAGTTCAATGAGAAGCTATCTCAGAGTGCCATTGCTGGATTATATGAGGTAGCTCACAATAGGCATGAGCAGAGCCTGATATAAATAAGCACTTACTAATCATTATGTATTATAGGTCCAAGTCTGTTACCTACAATTCTGAAGTCAAAAAGCTCTGAAAATTGTGTGGTTGATGTCAAAACTCATTTGGAAGCAAAAACCTATCCTGAAGTGGCATACAGCTATGTTTAGAAATACTAATGAAGTTCTGCTCTGGACCTTCTGGGGTTGTTACACGATACATTGTACATGCACCATATTACCTTTCTAATATCTGAAGAATTCTGAATTCTGAAATGCATCTGGTCCCTAGAATTTAGGATAAGGATTGTGAACCTATATTACTTTTAAGAGCAGAGTCAGTATGTCCCCTGACTGGCTTTCAATAGCAATGACTATCAACTCTAAACTCAGAACAAAAACCCTGGAAGGTATGGAATTAATTCTCTTTTCTGCTAGAGAAATCACAGATTGCTATTAAAGGCAGAAAAGAACTAGAGGTAGAGAAGTCAATTGAGACATATTTTCAAATATATTTCTTCCTTCTTTGGCTCATGTGATCACTGGGAACTTTCCATTGGGATCTGGCCCTGGATGAGAACAATTTTTAATGAGCATTTCAAATCCCAGATCCCAGGACACCGTGGTCCATGGTCACTTTCTGCTGGTCCACGTTTTGCTAGATGGGGCTGGGAAAGGAGAGCAGGGCAGTCATCCTCTCTCAAGGGATCTACTGAGGATCTCTCAAGTATTCACTGAGGATACAAGATATGCACACTTAAATGAAGTAGTAATATATTAGAGGATTATATTAGGTTAGAATATATTAGAAGATTATAAAATAAATGTTCAAGAAAATAACGGGGCAGGTATGCATTTTAGGAGTTCAGAAAAGGAACCGCAGTGGTGGGAGAGCTAATCTAAGGCCAGCTAACTCTTAGAGAGAAGAGCTAGCTACAGGCAATGCAGAGGGGAAGGGGAAGTGACAGTGGAGTGGAGAGAGAAGCAGGGACTTTGGAATTCAGTCCACACCCAACAGGTTCTGGTATGTGGCTTGAAAAATCTGCCTAACTTTTCTGGGCCTCAGTCTCCTCACTGCTAATGTGGAGGCAGTTATCTCTCTCTCTGACTATAATTATTATAACTATTAAATAAAATAGCATATGTAAAGTGCTGCCAGAATCCCCTTTATTTCTTGGTGACATCCTCCCAAGTTCGGCTCACAATCTTAGCTCTCATTGACTCCACGATACCTATGTCTGACAAGAGTGAGCAGATCAAGAAACAAATTATCATTCAAGCCCCTCAAATCTCCTCTTCCCCCAGAGCAGCATTTGCCAGCTCTCTACCATGCAGCCCCTTGCATCACTCTAACTAAGCTACTTCTCCATCCAGCAGTGGAGAGAGGAAGTCAGCCTTCCCATGGAACTTGCCCTCAAGTCAGAGATGTTTTTTCTCAGATCTCATTTTTATCTTCTGCTTAGAACCTTTTGGCCTCTTGACACACAGCACCACCGTGTGGGAAGGTTCTTGATAGATGGTGATTGTCCTGATACTTTGGTTCCATTGTCCAACCTCAACAGGTCATACAAGTACCAGAACCATAGATATCCTACATATCACCTAGGGGAGAGGCTAAGGGGAAACAAAAAGGAGCAGAGGCTATCATGGTGCAAATGCTGGGTGAGAGAAGGCTCTGCCATATGTAACTCAGAAGGAAAGGGAGGAGCTAATTATCAGAGCCAAGTATGCACCAGAGCCCACCGCACTGCAGGGAGCTCAAGAAACTGTCTCAGTTCTGCTGGGAACCATCAGCGGCCCAATATAAAACACCTAGGGGAGCTAGTATGTCTAAGGTTTGGGGCAAATGGACGCTTATAGTCATAGTGGCAGCAGTTTGGTAACATTGCCGTCGTCATCGTCCACTTTTATGGAGGATCAGAGTTCGTGAAGATCATCTGCAGCAGGCTGTGGTCAGGAACAGCCAGGGCAGCAGGGCGGGCAGGCTGACTAGGGCAGAGGGGATGGGCTCCAGTTCAGATGTAGACTGGAAGCCTTCGAACAGCAGCTGAGCCTTCCTCTCTGGTCACAGAAGTGTCACTGTCATTGTTGCGAGAGCAAACATCATGATTGGAATGGTGTGCAGGGGGCCCTGTGGTGACGCGAGTGTGAATGCTTATACGAGGAAGGGAAAGGAGTCAGGGAGACGGACAGGAGTGAAAAGGAAGGGATGGGTCCCCAGGATATTTTTGTTTTGTTTTAAAATTATCTTTAGTATTATTTTATCAACTTTTTTTATTTTATTAATTGAGGTAGAAGTCATAGCATAAAATTAACCATTTTAGCATGAACTATCCAGTGGCATTTAGAACATTCATAATGTTGTGGGACATTTTTCCCATTCCAAGACCATTCATCCCTTTGAAGTAAAACCTCCTACCCATTAAACAGGCCCTCCCCATCCCTTGCTCCCTCCAGCCCTTGGTAACTACCAACTGTCTTCTGTCTCTATGGATTTCTCTCTTTTGGATATTGCATATCAATAGAATTCTATAATACGTGACCTTTTGTGTTTGGCTTTTTTCACTTAGCATGTTTTTGAGATCCATCCATACTGCAGCAGATAATCAGTATTTCATTCCTCTTATGGCCTGAATAATATTCCATGGTGTGGACATAGCAGAATCTCTTTATCCATTTATCCATTAATGGACATTTGGGCTGTTCCACATTTTGGCTGTTCCACCCCAGTGAAATTTTAACGATGACTTTGAAGATGTGTCTTTATGTGTCCTCTGCTTGGATGCGAGATATATTTCAGAGGCTAGGTTCCCAATTTCAGTTGCTGGTAAGCCAGGATACAGACATCAGTAGGCAGAAGGGGCTAAAGACTGGATGAGCCCTATCATAGGGAAATAGCCCCGATTCAGCTCAGGAGGCCTCGGAGAGACAGTGTGGTCTGGTGGGGAACATGCTAGGTTGGAATCAGAAGATTGATATTTAAGTGATGGCTCTAAACCTCAGCCACCTCATTTCTCAAAAGGGTTTGTGATCGCTGCTTGCCTTCCTCACAGAGCTGTTAAGAGGCTGACGGAGCTGTCATACGTGGGGGGTGCTTCCAAGCAGTCAAGGATCACACATTTGTGCTATGATTATCATTTCCCTGTTAGAAGACATGCAAAGTGACACTTCTGACTCTCCATCAGGATACTTTTTTGTGTTAGTCACAGTGCATTATTTGCACGTATTAGAAAATGAAGATCTTCAGAAGGCTGCTGGGTAGCCCACAGAATTGGAGAAATGAATAATCAGGCTCGAAAAGAGAGGGGCCGGACAAGGTCTGGAGGCCCAGCAGTCTGGGGTTGACTGGGGTGAATAAGTGAAGGTCATTTTTCTATCTTTGCATCACTCCAGTCTAGCTTCCAAATCCCAGGAGGAGGACTGATGGATTAGGGGAGGGCAAGAATCCTTGATTGACAGTTCTTTCAGGCCTGCACACTGTGGGGAGTAGGTGATTCCCAAAATGGAAATGAGGGAGCTGTTAACAGAAGAGGAAGTAGATGCTGGGAGGC